GAGTTATGACCAGAGGTATTGTCTCTTTTTTATTTTATTTTATTTTATTTTATTTTATTTTATTTTATTTTATTTTATTTTTCTTGTTCCATTCAGTATGGCAAGAAGAAAATCAAGTACATCAACTATGAAAAGCAGCACCTGTACTTCTACATGCGTGAGTTTCCCAGAGTCACTTTCCCTATCATTTGATTTCCCTAACGCATGCACTTGTCAGGCCAGGTGTGATTAGACTCCTCCCTCGGGGAACAGCTCATCTTACTGTCCCTGAGAAAGCCAGCATGTCTTCGTTCGGACCTACCTGTGTAAAAATATGAACAGGAAAGGTGGAAAAGCAAATAGACATTTTCAATAGGCATGTCATCCCTCTGGGCTTTGGACAGGGAAGGAAGGAAGGACCCATGAGGGTGGGAAGGAACAATGCCAATCAAGAGGACCTGCATCTGGGACTCACATCTTGAAAAGGCTAAATATGATCAACAGAAAAGAATACTGGCATTGTACAGAGAGGGAAAAGAGGTGGAAAAAATACTGAAGCATTTATAGTGTGCTGCCAGAAAAAGTAGAAACCAGAGTTGAAAGTCACTCTTCAAGCTTCTGTGCGGAGGAAAGCTTGCTGTTCCCATGACCTACATATGGGTCTAGAATGTACGAGATCTACACGTAAAGATATGTCTCTACATGTGCGTGTGTTGGCCAGGATTGGAAGCAAATTAAGCTTCACTGACCAATTCTGATATTAGTGGAAGAATATCATAGTCAAAGAGCCTTGACCCTCCTGCACCACAATCAAACTCATGCTAGCTCACAAAGAAATGTTTAAGAAACTCCTATATCTGCTCATCTAAAGCACACCTACACATTTGGGAAATAAACCAAAATCAAGGAAGGAGCCAAACTGTGTCCGTAGGCCAGTGATTCTCAACAGAGAACAGTTTTCTCCGCAGGGCACATTTGACAATGTCAGGAGATACACTGATGGAGAGCGTTACTGGCATCCTCCAGGTAGAAGGCAGAGATGCTGCCGGGCATTCCATATGGCACAGGAGAGCCCATAACAAAGAACTGCCTTGCCTCAAGTGCCAGCAGGGCTGAGGCTGGGACACCCCCTGCAGGTGATGTTTATTGCCTACATGTGGGCCACTGGCGACCACCGGCAACGTGCCGCAGACCATGGTTTGCTGCCCGTTGTACAGCTGGACTCAGTTTTCCCATCCTACACCCATCTTCTGACCCTTCTCTTGCAAAACCCAACAGGGACATTGGTGCTTCATTCTGAAATGAAGCTAACTGCACCTGACCTGAATATGCAGTTGCACAAGAAAGCATTTATTTTTCTGAACTTATGTGAAAAATGTGTCTTCACCTCCTCTCTCTGTCGTGACACAGTCTGTCCTCAGCATATGAGGGATGAGCGGCAGGGTGCAAATTCACTGCAGAATGCCCACCTCACAAACTCCACTGCTCCAAGAGCTGCTTCATCGTCTCCTTTCCCCTCCAATGTCAGCTTAGGACCGTGGGTACAAATAAAGTATAATTCAAACCTTCCTAGAGAAACAGAGCTGGAAAATTGTTAAAGAAGACAGATTGTATTCAGACTTCTACAACAGGGGAGAGATACCTCAGTATGAACTGAGACGAATTGTCTGACACAAAAGTGAAGGACAGGCTTTGAAATGCTTGGGCATGCTGAAGAAAACAACTGAAGGACACCAAAAGATGGGGTTGCGGTGGGGACATTGGCCAGTGTGATGAGCTTAGGCCAATGTCTGCTGATTAGCACTTAGGGAAGGCAGACTCTCCCGCAGAGGCTGGGAGGTAGTGCCCATCCTTCCTGAGGGTAGCATTTCAAAGGAAGGACTCCTAGGACTCTGGTTGGTGGAAGATAAATCTCAAAGGGAGAGAGGAAGAATTTACAACTGCACATTTTTAAATGAATGATCTAAGAAAAAGGGGATCAGGCACTTATACTCAAGTTTTGGCTGGAACAAATGATAAATTCTTTGAGGAGCATAGAGTTTTAAAGAGAACCTGAAAGGGGTTGGGGTCATCCCAGAGATATGGCCTTGAACTCAAAATCTGTGCTAATGTCGGTTCAAGTTTCTAAACGTTGGTGGGGGCAGGGAGGTGAAATCGTTTGTGTTGAGAGTTTGCAGAACTCATAGGCTAAGGTCAAGGCCCAGTCAAGAAGAGAGCTCAGAGGACCCCAGTTAGAGCTAGGTTAAAGAGACGGTCTCAGTCCAAAGCCAAAGGATCTTCGTGTTCTCTGTGCTCCCAATGGCATCAAAAATGACACAGATCAATGCTTCCCTAGCTGCTCTGACAGAACTTGAACCTGGAGCTACTGATCAAATGCCTAGTTCAGCCTCTTGAACTTGGAAAACCTAGTGGAGTCCAGGCTGTTGTCAACGATCTCTGCTCTCTTCCTTTCTCAGGCTGGGAGTGCATGTTAGACAGACAGCTGCTGGCTTGCCCTGGGGTTGCCTTCTGCTCATTGATTTACTACCTTTTTTGTTGTTCTTTCTCAGTTGGGCTCCCCTTGCTCATGCCTGGGTATTTCAATCTGCAATCCATGCAAGTGATGTACCTTCGAAAGTACTGGGTGGTGAGTATGTGACTCCTGGTAGAAACTAGGCCGGGTAGAAGAGGGGATGTAAGAATGCTTGGTGCTCCCCAGAGGTAGCTTCCTGGAGTAACAGGGCATAAGATTGAGACAGCACATGAAGGAACCCCAGCCCAGTGAAGAGGAAATGAAATGCTTGCAGCACCTAACTTTTAAGTGCTTTTTCTTGCAGGACATTGCATTTGTCAGCAGCTTTTACATTCGACATTTCATCACATTTGGCTCTTTCTATGGAATTTTCGGAACCGTGTTGCTCATATATGTCGTCAAGTAAGAACGAGCTTTTACTTCGATTACCCAGATGGTCGTCTTACCATCCTTGTCAGAGTTATGTGTGATGAGTCAAAGATTATGACACCATGGCCACTGTCTGGACCTGGGGTTTTTAAGGAATGTAAAAAATAAATAATAAATAAATAAATAACTGAGGTAGTTGAACAAGACAAGCTAATTGCAAAAAGAATTTGCCCAATCTCATTTTTCTAACTAGCTTTATTCCCAAGTGCAGCATTTAATTTGTTCCTAGCTCCTTACATTTAGTTAGATACCGTAACCTCCACCAATAGTCACAATAGGACAGTTTTTAAAGGTTACTTTAGGACTAGAGATTTTTTTTCCCAAAATCAAAATAACTTCAAGCCATCATTTTGCCTAAATGGTTTTCTTCTGCTTTCCGATTTTTTATTCCTCATTTTGTTAATTATTGCTCTAAACCCTCAATAATTAGGGGATAATGATAGCTACTCTGCATCAGACTCTGTTAAAGCCTTTACATGTATTATCTTGTTTGATGTAATCCTGGTACAGTCCAACAATAGAGATAGTATCGTCTTCATGTTTCTGCTAAGGGAATTGAAGCTTGGAGAGATTTAATCACCTACCTGACATGATAGGACATGTAAGGACTAAGGCAGGTGCCAAGATAGTATTTGAACATTGTCAACCACTTTGCATGTGCTCTTGGAGAACCTGATGGTTTTTTCATCCCTGCATTAGAGCTACAGAAATCTTCAGAGGCGCTGTTCCCATGAGTTAGGAAACAGGGCAAGTCCAATGGCACACTGTCAGTGCATCAACTCTAGATTGAAAGGCATTCAAAGAGGTACATGAAAGACCTCCTATTACTGAAATCTTGGAACTTCTTCTGATTCCTCCAATTTTTGGCCAGCTCGGCCCAAGGTTATGCAAGCCTAGCAAATGCAGCTATGACACCCTCAAGAATCATTGCTCCCTGCTTTTGTTCCCCAAAAGGTTTCTTGAAAGTCCATGGATCGCATATGTTACCCAGATGAGCCACATACCAATGAGGATGAGCAAAGAGGAGAACCGAGACTGGCTCAGCACCCAGGTAAAGATGGAAATCCTCAGGGAGAGCCCTTCAAACCAGGCTGACTTAGCGTCTTGTTACCTCACACAAGAAGAACTCAGCTTTGTAGAATGCACTCCAAGGCTCAGGCTCTGTGAAACATTTTGCAGTACAAATAGTGCACATATTCACTTTACAAGATGATAAAACCAAGGCATGGAAACGTCCAGGAACTTGTATAAGGTCACACAACTAATCAGTGACATAAGCAGATTATACCCAGAGACTTTCCTCTAAACTAAGAGCCAGTCATCTAAAATTCACGAGCCAAATCTGGCCCATTGCTTGTTTGTATAAGTAAAGTTTTATTGGGACACAGGCATGTTCATTCATTTGCATATTAGCTGTGTGCTTTTGTGCTACAATAGAAGAGCTGAGTATCTCTAACAGAATTAAAATATTTACTATCTGTCACTCTATAAAAAAGACTTGATGATCTCTCCTCTAATCTCCCACAGTACATAGCCTTTTGAGTAAATCTGCGATCTTAAAATTACAGAATGAATCTTACACCTATAAGGACCATGTTTCATTATATAGATAGGGCATTGCAGTGAGGGGTCATGGCATGCTCACCAAACATGCCGCTACTGCTTAGCAAAGCTATGATCAACACAGCAACCCTACCTCCTATGGCCCAGCCCTTTCTACTGGCTCTACTGAGCTTCTGCAAGCTCATACCCAAAGCTCAACGACTTCCTGAAGGATATACAGGGATACTTCTCCCACATTTTTGTCATAAACCACTTCTTTTATTTTTCAGTTTTCATTTATCAACTTAATCTTTGTTAGGATGATTTCTTTTCAAATATTTGTTGCCTTTTTATATTTCTTTTCCTGTGATTTGCTTGCTAGTGCCCTTACTGTTCTGAGTATTTACACATTTTTGAGTTTCAGTAATTCTTTGTAGAGTAAAGGCATGAACACATTGTCTGTCATATAAGTTATAAACATGTTCCTAGTTGGTTCTTTGCCTTGCTTATAGAGAAGGGATTTATTAATATTTCACCTTGTCTTGTTTGCGAATCCCTGAAAATATCTATTACAGTGATCCACTTAGTGTTTTTTTTTTCCATTCACCTTACCTTGCAATGATGCTGGAATGAAGTTATATTAAAAAATTTAATTAAAATAATATGTTGCCATATTGTGTTTATAGCTATTATAGGAAGTTGTAAAAATCCCTCCAGCAACCTGCCGGAGTCCAGGTCATTCAAATACCTTCCATGTCATTTACAATGACTAAAAGCAATAAAAACTCTACACTCTTAAAAGTTATTGAGGGGCTGGGGATTTAGCTCAGCGGCAAAAGCGCCTGCCTGGCAAGTGCAAGGTAGTCAGTTCGATTCCCGGTACCAGAAAAAAAAAAAAAAAAAAAAAAAAAAAAGTTATTGAAAACTCAAAGAGCTTTTGTTTCTATGTCATACCCATTTGAGATCTATATTTGAAGTTTAAAATGAGAAATTTTTAATATTTATAGATTAATTTTAAAATAATAAGAATAAAGCTAATAATATTAACTTCAAAGGGATAAAGCCATCTCATACTTAGCCTCTTGAAAATTCCACTGTTTAAGCATGAAAAATTGAGAATGAAAATGGAAAATAATGTGTCAAAAATCTTATGAAACCATTTTGATCTAGAAGATCCCATTAAATATCCTGAACTATTTCAAATTTTCTGAACTACACTTTAAGTAACACTAACATAGAACAACTGTGGTCTGACATTCAAAATGGCAGCCACCCCAGCAAAAATTACATCATAAAAAGGCATTGAAAGGAATGTTATTTGTACAGATTCTTAATCCTTGAGTCTGGAGAAACCTGTGAGCCTCCTCTCAGGGCAATGTTTTATAAATGTATAACATATAAGACATAAGATTCCAGAGGAAACTATTTGTACTGGAGTATGCTTCTAGAACCTTCTAGAACCTTCTAGGGTTCTAACAGAACCCTTGGTTAGGATCCTTGAATACCTTGTTCCTCATTCAGAAGTTCTTCAAACCACTCTGGAAAAGGCCCTAAGCCCCCCTACAACCTCTACCATAACCCTCTGAGCCCATCATCATCTGCCAGTGTTTCCATCCATGACACCACAATCTTAAGAGTGTGTAGTGAATCTCCGTTGAATTCTATATACTTTTATAGCTATTATTTTGTATACTTCCTAGCAAAATATTTTCCTGCATAGTTAAGTGTTAAACTTATTGAAGCCTGGGACTGTCCCCAATATTCCTTATAGTTTCTTTATACAAAATAGGTACTCAATAAGCATGTGTTGATGGTTGGCTCAATAAGAAGATACATAAGCATTTCATTTGTCTGACACCTGGATTCATTGATATCTGATGCAAGCTTTTTCTTTGCAGGTCTTGGCCACCTGTAATATTGAACAGTCTTTTTTCAATGACTGGTTCACTGGGCACCTGAACTTCCAAATCGAGCACCAGTGAGTCATAGAAACAGCCCGTAATGCGGAGAGGACTGTCACATGTAACAGTCCCAAATACAGTCCAAAGTAGGGTAGTTTGGCTCAGAGGGAAAAAATAGTCAGGAATCTTTAACACCTACTACTTTTCTATTAGCACCAATTATAAAGGAAGGACAGAAGGAAGAAAGAAAAGAAGGAAATGTAACAACTGTCAGCAAATGAAGTGAAATCTTAGAAAAGTACCAGTAATTTAGTTTTAGCTACAGGAAACCTTAGAATTTGGTGGGGTTTTTTTCCTGTGCATTTGGTTTGTTAGTAAAACCCAAGAAAAGTCACACAACTGGGTAACCAAGTTGTGTTGAAATTTAATTACAGTTTAAATTAAATCTCTACTACTGTAGAGCCAATGTTACAAAATAATCAACAATGAAATTGATTCCTCTAAGTAATTTGCCAATGGTATCTGGCAACACATTAACCAACAGGCCAGTCAAGTAGACATGCCATTAAAAAGAAAGAACAATAACACTTGAAGAGCCACTCATGATTCTCAGAGGAAGCACTTTCCCCTTCTTTGTTTAAGCCATACCTAGGAGACTCACAGAAAGAAAATGGTCTCATACTTGTTCATAGGACTTTGCCATTTTCTATACTAGTCTTTAAACCCTCAGCAAAACAAAAAAAGAATTATCATTTGCTTTTTGTCAAAGAATTGGTCACAGTCCTAGAAAGTCACTTGGCCAATTAGTGAAAAACTTTAGATAAGACAGATATCTTTTCAGTCCTTACTGCTCACCTAGAACTTTCCCGACATAAACAGTGGCTAGTCCTTAGTGCAGACTCACCCATTTATGAGGCAGGAGTTAGACAATAAAAAACAAGAGAAGCAGAAAGAGACAGAGATAAAGGGAGGCAGAAAGTTATCTCCAGCTCTCCTAGGCAATTCAGAATGATAGAGAATCCATACTTTCATTTGAATTTGGCAAAAATAAACATATTGACTGGGCCTAATATTTGTCCTATGAGCATTTGCTAAATATTCAACATCCATATGACTTGCAGAGGTGATGCGATATAAGATGAGAGTGTTTTGGTAAGAGATTTTGAACTTCCCAGAAGGACTGGGCCAGGTTAAGGTTGGATATGCATTGCTGATATAATTTTATTTGGTAATACAGGAAATAAATCTCCTTCAGGTTTTCTTTTAGGTCTAACTTCCATATCTCCCATCTGTTTCCTTAGTCTTTTCCCCACCATGCCACGCCATAATTATCACAAAGTGGCACCACTGGTGAGGTCCCTGTGTGCCAAGCATGGGCTGCAGTATGTGAACAAGCCCATGTTGACAGCATTTGGAGATATCATCAGGTAAGAGCACAGTTTCTCCGGGCTCACAGCGTGCATTGTCTCTCACTGTGAGTCCCCAGACTGTACACTGGCTAGTGAATCATTCTTTCAGCAACCATTTGTTAAAGAGCACCCACGAGCTCACACAAACACAAGAATCTACAGGGGAAAATACCACTTCCCTCTCGCATTCCAAGTGCTCCAAGTGAAAATGCCCACCGGCCTGCATATTTCAGGCTTTTTGACACCAAGGCTATGTCTCGCTTGTCTCTGTACCCTGCGTCCCATACAGCTTCCCCTATGCTCAGATCAAACATAGAGAACTTTCCGAACTTTCGGGTGCACTGCTGTAGATGCAGATGGCCACAGGCTCCAGTTGGGCAGATGTGCACCCGGCTGGTGCCTGACCGTGGGAGTGAGGGCTGCAAGAATTGAAAATCCACACTTATCCTCAGCTACTCGTACACATTCCCCTAGAGGCCATTGTGCTCAGCAGATTAACAGCCAGTGGCCTGGGCTTAATAACTTTCTTTTAAAATCAGGTTTAAAAGATACCATGAAGAAGACCATAAAGGCCAGGCCTCTGCTCATCTGCTCCCTGTCTAGTGCCCCCACTTCAAACTCCACAATGCCCTGTGCCCTCCCTGCACTCCAGGCAGCTGGTCGACCATTAGTTGCTACAAATCTCCCTGCTTTGGCACTTTTTCTTCTGTTGAGAGCATTCTTTCAATCGCCAGCTGCCCTCCATCCCCTGTGTCAATTCCCATTCATTATCCAAGGCTCATCTCAAACTCCTTTTCCTCCCTGTGTTCTTTGCTGATGTCCAAGACTTAATCCATCACATCCTGTTGTGGTGCCTGGTTCTGTCCTCCTGGGTGATGACTTACGTAATACATATCTACCAAGCCAGATCAGGAATGCCACAGGGACAGGACCCCATCTGTCCTCTTCATTGCTGAGTCTAGAAAACTATCTTCCTAATTAGAAAGTAGGATAAGTAGAAGATAGGAGACGGGTTGGCATAGAGGTCTATGGGAATAGAACAGACTAAAATGAAGGCAAAGCTCAACTGTTATCCACAAAGGAAAAGTGAACCCATTTCCTAAAAAGCAATTCAGTGTCTTTATATCCTCCATTGGTCAACAGATAATGGTGCGTATAAGATAGGTCCAGAAATGGCATTGCCCTGAGCCAGGCAGAAGAGCAATGGACCACAGAGAAAGAACTTCCCCATGATAGGTTCACCTCTTGATTTCTATTTTTACTCCCCCAGGGCTTTGAAGAGATCTGCTGCCATTTGGGTGGACGCTTACTATGAGTGACGTGGCACCGTGCGCCCCATTGTATCTCTGAAGGGGGTTGGTGGATGTACAAGAGCTCTTTGCTGTTTAACTGGGAATTAACTAGCACCGCTGGCATACCTGCCGATGCCAAGAATGTGAACTCAAGGACACATGACAATCTCTTCCCGGAAAGTCATTGAAAACAAGAAGCAGAAGAAGCACAACATGACTTTGGCCGGGGTGGCAACAGGGAAGTGGGGCTTCACTCTCTTTATTTTTTCATTATGATCTTGAACTTAGTCTATCAGTAGACCTTCCTTAAATCACCTCCTCCAAAGAGCACAAGTATGGGAATCAGGTAAAGCCTTCCCAGAGAAGGTGGACAGAAGAGGAAGTAAATCAAGAGAGACTCATCTGATGGAGTATTTTGGAAAACAGTGCAATTGCTCTTAGAAGAAAAGAATTTATTTAAGTAATCCCTGTTGAAGTGCAAATTTTCAGTTCTTTCTTTTCAAATATGTAAACCTCTTTTTCCTTAAAAGTTGATTGAAATTAAAATATATTCACATATTTCACTATTCACTTGGGATTTTCATTACTGTGCCTACTTAGGTATGATCACACATATATAACATTGTTTTTCCACATGGAGAAATTAAAATTTCTATAAAACCACTTCAAAGAATGTCCTCCACCCAGTCCCACCAGCAACTGATCAAGCACTTTCATATTTATGTGTCTTACATTTAGCTAAAGAATCAACTATCCCTTGAGTATAAGAATTGGTCACCTATTCCCTACAGGCGGGACTACAGCAGAACCACCAAACATCCTTATTGTGTCACCTCTAGGAAAGAAAGAGCTTCTTTTCCACAATGGAGGCTGCAGGCTGCATCAAAGCATTTCCAAGTACGGCACCCATTAGGCCTGTTTAAGAGGAGAGTTTAGGCTGTCATCAAAGAGTTGCAGAAGAGGAAGAATGGGGTCCAGGAGCTCTCAGTGCCATGCTGACCTCTGGAACCCATATTTTTGTTTAGCACAGAGGACACACTAATGCTGGCCAAACTGTATGGAGGAAGTGCAAAGCACAGGCTTCCTTCCCCAGCTCCAAGCAAATCAGCATTATTGCTTTATCTGTTGACTGCGGTTCTACCAGTAAAGATTCAGGCTCTCCAATCTCTACAACGTACCCATTTCCTTTGTTTTTCTTAATTAAATCCCAAGTAAAGGACAGCACATTAAGCCACTCACAGCTGCTGGGAAATTAAGTACACATGTGAAAGCTAAGAAATCAAGAACTGATGGTCTGGGAGCTGGAGATGTTGAAAGGGGAACGGTGACAAGTAGGACAGTTGTGCAGGGGATAGAAAGGATAAAAAGCTTGTGGACTTCATGATTCTTCCTAGTGGTTGTGTCAGCAACACTTCTTCCTCCTGCTAGTGGACCTAGACAAGATTCCTTCTGCCCAAATGCAGGGTGGTGAGTGGGGGTGGGGTACAGTGATTGGCTTTCTCGTGTCGCCTGGTCTGACTCCCATAGATGCTCACGCACTGTTTGTTCTACTGACCCATGGAAATAGCAACCAGATTTCTCCTTAAGCAAATCTAATTGCCTTAAAGGAATTCCTCATTAAGTGCAAAACTAGCCTGCTTTTTAGTTCCCCAAACAAAGGTGGTTACTGTATAATTTTCAGTAAATCTGGGAAATGTAAATAGATTATGTAGAGGAATTGTTCAATTTTTTTTTAAAGGTGCTAGACCATCTGGTGTTAAGCTTTTCTTTGTTGAAATGTTTCTGCTTATTTGCTTCTATGTCTTTACTCTCCATTGATCTGTTCAGACTCTCTACTTCTTCATAATTTACCCTTGGTAGATTGTATGTTTCTAGGAATTTATCCATATCTTATAGGTTATCCAATGTGTTAGTGCATAACTGTTTGTAGTGGCCTTTTACGGTCTTTTGCATTTCTGTGGCTTTCAAAGAGATGCAAGCTAAGCAATGTGTTATCCAGGGATTTATGCACATGTAATAATGCTATAAAGGGAACCAAGGAAATAAGCACAAATTGGGGATCATGGAGTGGGTGTGCTAGACTCCCAGGTCAAGGGCAGGAAGCTGAATGTCAGGGAGTGATGGAGTGAGTCAGATGGGTATCAGGAGCCAAGGCCTCTTGGCAGAAAGAAGCATGAAACTGGAAAGAAGCCCGAGATGAAGCAAAAGAAGAAAAGAAACAGAGTAGTAGAAGGTGGGGCAGGCACATCGGGTGACTTGGGGTTCGATCCTCATTCCAAGAGCCTGGATATCCACCGACGAATTTCAAGTAGAGCCATAATATAACCTTTAGGAATCATTTAGTTTAAAGAGTCAGGAGACTAGTAGATTAAGCTCCCCTCATTTATACCTGTAGATCAGATCCTTACGGTAGGGAAGATGGAGATACAATGACCTTGAGAACCAGTCACCCAAATTCTAATTTATTCTGGGAAGTTATGAAAGCAACAGGCTTTGGTTATTTACCTCTGTGGAGCATATTGAACAAGCAACAAAAATAAGGTCGATACCTCACCAAGTGAAAATTCCAATCACTACAGGATGAGAGAGAAAGATTAGTGAGGATCATGAATTCAGGAAAATGGTGAATTTTGCTGATTAGTACCAAGCAAATTAAAATCTTACTTCATAGTTACACCGCTACTTAAAGATGTCTTATTGCAAGACTTTTCTGATTATGAAAATATGTTGATGAAATATCTTCCAATTAGATAGAAATAAGTTATATCAACTTTCCTAGAAGCACTTCTATGTCCTCATTTCTTTTAGCATAATGTCTTTAAGGTTGATTCACCTTGTTGTTGTTGCAGGATTTCCTGCTTTCCTGAGGCTGAATACAATTCCGTTCTGTGTGCATACCACATCCTTCAACCACTTGTCTACTGATGACCATTTAGGCTGTTTTTACATCTTACCTACTGTGAATACTGTTGCAATAAAGAGGGGAGGCTCATATTTCTTTGAGATCCTAATTTCAATGGGATATATACCCAGAAAGGGAATTTTTGTATAAAATTCTTACCAACACTTAGGAGTACATACAGAGCAACAAGATGGACCTACACCCTGGATGGACATGGTATCATTTGATCTTTATAATAAGTCCATGGAGCAGATGCCATCTCATTAGATAGAGAATAAGACAGGAGCTTACATAAGCCGAGCCACATGCTTGGTTTCACAGGTAGGAATCGGTGGAGTAGACTTTCAGATCCAGGAATATGTGACTCTGTAGTCACCCCTCATCAATTCCCGTATTAGGAAGTTCAAAGCAAAGGGGAATTAATTGGCAGTAAAAGACATGGGCAGATGGCACTGGGGAATATTTCTAAGAGCTTCCTAGAGATGGGCAATGGCAATTAACCCTCCACACCAATGTGTTCCACCTGAATAGGTGACCAGAGAGGGGAACACAGGAGGAGCACGAGACAGGCATGATAGCCACCTAGAAAGAGTCCTTCCTGAGCAACTCACACTCACCAACCCTCAAAGGTTCTCCAGGTCATGACAATTTCAGTGGGAGAGTCCGTATCTGAGGACTAACCTTTCTGAAGGAACAGATGCTACATTAAACATGGGGGAACAAGATGAAAACACTGATTTAAGAGTCTGCAATGGCATGGCCTGAACTCCACCCAGGGAAAACTCGTATTCCCTGTAGTTATATTTGTAAGCCTTTCCTTGACATCCTATTTCCTCTAAAGCTTCACCCTTCCTGGAAAAATTAAGTAATAATAATTTGCCTGCCTTTTCAGTTGGGTATTAAGTAAGGATGACTTAATTAGAAGTCAGAAACTTAGATTCTAATTTCAGCTCATTAACTTTGTACCCTAAAATGAACCTGGCCAGGTTACTTCCCAAATGCATATCACAAACTCCACAACTGTAAAATAGGTGTAGTGCATGATATTATTGGTCTATGCATCACAGCATGATTGTAACAATCAAATGAAGTAAGGCAAATGAAATGGTTTCATTAGTGGGAAACACCCATTTTAATTCTGCTTATTATTAATTAATGTCATTATTACTATTATTATTATAATGATAGTTTGTTCCATCTTAGAACCACCAAAAACAAGAAAAGAAGGGAGAAAAGACACACAAGCCTACAGGAGGGAAATACACTCAGTCACTTTAACAATGACAAGGGCACTTATATCCAGACAAGAGGCTAATGAGTCACAATTGAGAAGACAATCTCTCCTATTGCAACAAGGGACACACACAAGTCAACTCACACTTTAATGGGTCTGAATTCCCAGGAACCAGCAGCTAGATCTTAGGCTAAACAAGGAGTAGAAAACCAAGGTTCTGCCTACCAAACTTATTGTTAAACATATGAGCACACAATTTTTAATGTAGGACATCTTGCCACCTATGAATACCATACAACATTTAGTGCTAAATCAGATGTACTGGATTTTATGTTGCTAACACCATACCAGACACCCACAGCTCAAAAAAGGAAAGGTTTAACTTGGCTCACATTTTAAGGGGGTTCAGTCTATCTTCAGATGGCTCCAAACCAAGAAAGACATGGCAGAAGGATTTCAGGGAATAAAGCTATTTAGTTCATGGTGGCCAGAGAACAAAGTAGAAGAATCTCAAAGGGGAAAAGGCCCGAGACCAGACACAGACCCCCAAGACCATGCCCCCATGACCCACGTTGACACACACCATCCAAAGATAAAGTGTGCTCCTCCGATCTCCATGGTGGGTTCCAGAGCCAACCAAGTAGAAATTCCAACCTCCACTTCAGATATGTAGTAATCATCTACTATCTTGTACAATCCTAGAAGAGCAGAGGGTAGAGGAGTTTGAACTTGAACTTTCTTGAGAGCAGGAATACACTTCAGTACTTTTTCTATCAAAACAGTATTTATGAAAAGTTTGAAACAACCACATTGGAAAGAATTTTATAGTGAACACCTCTACAGCCATCACTTAATTTAAGCATCAGCTTTGTGGTAAACTTTATTCCCTATGTGTTCATCTATGCTCCTCTCAGTCTGCCCATTCAACGTTTTTATTTTTTTAGGCACTTGTAAGTAAATTTTCAGGGGTTTATTTTTTTAAAATAAACCTCAGCTTGTGCAGACATCAAAATATGTGAACGTGTATCTCTTCTGTTCAATAAAGAATTGGTGAAAATTATGTGGCAGGTTTACCTCTAGGGAAGTACAATGCACTTGACTTTTCTGCAGAATCAACTCACTCAATACAGAACAAACCTTCGTGCGTGCACGTATGCCTGCCTTTCTTTTTTGCATTTATTCAAATTCATTTGTATTCATCACCCTTTGGTTTAGCAACTCTTGTCTGACACCTTCCATGAGTCAGGCACTGGGCCAGGTGATGTGAACAAGACAGGCAGAAAGGCTGTAGGGACTTTCATTCCAGAACAGAAGGGATTCAGTTCACAAGTAGATTGAAGGAAACCTCAGGTGACTGCATAGAAAGGAAGTAAACAGGCTATGGCGGGAGTACCGGGAAGCAGGGGACTAGATTGATTTA